CCATGAATACATTAAAAGTATATAGTTTTTAAATAGTTTTTATCTAATATATATCCTGTTTTGTACATAAATCCAATACTTTTTAAAATTTTACTTTCATGTTAAGTTAATTCTTGATGAAACCTTGTCATTAAAGTTTCACATCCAATCTATTGAAAGAAAAATCTCTATAATATTTCCGTACTTTATAAAACAAAACCATTTTCAAATGCAAAAGCTCTAATGAAAATTTATTTTTCATTTATTCACAGCTATCTTACTTACTGCAACATTGTATAGGGAAGTACGAATTACGGAAAACTAAAAACTTTATAGTAAACAAAAGCATGCTTGTAAAATTATATAGGGGCAAACAGAACTGTTTGCTACGAACCGCTATTAAATCGTCTCAAGGCCTTAAACATTTATAAACTAAACAATTACCAAACATTACTTTTCATGTTTAAAATGAAACATGGAATATCTCCACTTATATTTCAATCTTATTTTAGCAAAATATCTCATAAGTATCCAACAAAGTTTTCAGAGGATAACTTTATTGTTCCGAGAATTAACTTAAAAATAAGTACCTATCGAATTCCATATCGAGGACCTCTTTTATGGAAATATTTTATTAAAAACTTTAATAAAAATTTTCTTTAAAACTTTAATAAAGAACACAACTCTTTAGAAAAATTTAAAACAGTTTCTAAAAAGATCTTACTTCAATTAGATTTTAATTCAATAAACTTTAAATATTGTTTTTAAACGGTAATTTTAAAATAGAAAAATTGCTTCCATTAGCACTAAATACACTTTGTTATATGTATCAAATATATTTGTATTAGTATACAAAACTTTATTTATTTTTAAATTTTTAAAATAATTGTAATTTTATTATTTGACAAAAGTTATGTACTCTTTAACGTTTTTTTTTTGTATATTTTATTCATTTTTGTTTATAAACACGGACATTTTGTAAACGGGGCTTTGTGATAAGACAGTCATTATCTTCTTCTTGCTCCGGCCAATTTTTATAAATGTAATATGTCTTTATTGTAAATATATGAAACGGCAAAAAAAAAAAAATTATGTTAATGTGCTCTTTCCAGCTTGCTCATCGGTTAAAACACCTAAGAATTTAATACAAAATGTCTGTTGCAACTTGGTTTTTTCAATTATATCCGGTAGTTTTCAAGGAAATATCCGAGAGTTTTCAAGGAAATATCAAAATATTAAATAACTTTGCGATATCACCATCTTTAAATTTTGGAACTACTCTAGCTAGTTTGAAGATATAAGGAAAAATGCCATTTTTAAATGAAAGATCAAAAATAATAAGTAAGGGGTATTCAATGATATCAAAAGCTTCTTTAACAAACCTAAGGCCTATATCATCATGCCCTGCGCATTTGTTTGGTTTTGTCATATTAAAAGCAAACCGAATTTCGTCAGGCGATACCTCAAGCTCATCCATACGTAGTCCACTCTTTTTAAACATGATTTTAAAAAAAAATTTTCCCGGAGTTATTTTGTGTGCAAGGTTCTTACCCACGTTTATAAAAAAGTTTTTTTTTCTTTCCCTATCACTTCCTTCATTATATTAGTTTTTTGTTATTTCCGATATTATTTTGTAATAAACTTGATAAATAATTTTTTCAGGTTTTTGTAAAAATTTTTTTTTTACGTTTTAATAAGTTTTTTTAAGATAATTTTCATAAAAATTTTATTTTTTCTTAGAAGATTTAATAACTCATTTCGTAATCCCTGAACTTAGACTTTTAAGCTTCAATTTGATTTCCTTAATCGAAAAATCTTGAAGAAAAACCGTTATTTTTGAGAATTCTCACAAATATCGGGTGATTCATAAATAATGATACCATTTATTTTTCAGTTTTTTTTTTACTAAGATTTAACTTACTAACATTCAAAATAGATTCAAAAGATAAAGAAAATTTTTTCCTATAAGATAATGTCTTTTTATTTTGAATAATAGTTTCCACCATTCTCACAAATATGATTTAATCGAATTGAAAAAGAATTACAACTTTCAAAGCAATTTCTAATCTAATTTTCTTTACTGCACGTTTTAACTCACCGATTAAGTTTTTTTTTGAGCTTACTCGACTCCAAATAATAGCATGGTTTAATTCCTCCCAGATAGAAAAGTCTAATGAGTTCAAATCTGGGCTATTTGGAGGCCAACGTTCTTTAAGAATAAAATCAGGTAAATTGTCCTGACACCATTGTTGTGTCAATAGGTGTGTATGTGCTCGTGCACCATCCCACAGTGGGCCAGGTGGTGAAAAAAAGTATAAAAAAAATATTCTCAAAAATGACATTGTTATATAACATTTTATAGCTTAAACATCCGGCTTTTATAAAATGTATATATTTATGTATAACTATCAAGCTGTTAATAAAAAAGTTTGTTTTTTTTTCTGTTGTTTTTTAATTTAATAATAATTTTCGTGTTAGTAATAAGCATAAAATTTGTATTAATTATTAAAACTTCATTTTTTTAATTTAATAATTAAATAAAACTAAGTATTATCTATCAAATGAGCTATTGCAAAATTATTTTACACGTAAGCTAAATCAAATAAATTAATTTCTAATGATGGCGTATTTAAAGCATTTTTTTAGTGAAAGTTTCACTTAAATAATGAAATTCTTTTAAGCTCCAAGGTGCTCCAGAAATTTGAGACTAAAAAATATCTTGCCCAATATGTACATTATCGATATATATTTTACCTATTGTCGGTATGTCGATATATATTTTACCTATTGTACATTTTTATCTATTTCAGAATTTTTTTTTTTCAAATCTGCCAGTTGTTAACTTTCGCCATTCAACTTATGTATTCAATCTCAGTTTGTGATACGCGTGCAATCAATTTTAACATAAAACGAGTATAAAAATCCACATATTTAAGATTGTATTTCTTTAAATAAATTTTTTTTAAACGTCGGCTTTGGTTTCGATTTCTGTTAAATATTTACCGAAATTTCGTAATTTTGGTTTATTTTTGTTTCGGTCGATCACTAGTTGGTTCTAGTTTACTTTAACTAAATCCCTTAATTTTAATTGCAGTAATCTGCCTTTTTTTTTTTTTTTTTTTTTCTTTCTTTTTTTTTATAATGAACTCTTTCACTACAGCAGTTTTTTTTTTCGCCGTGACCGCTCTATTTAAGAAAAAAATCATCACATACTATACAAAACTAATAGAAATTCAAGCAATAATTTTTTTTGAAAACATAGCAAACCATATTTATATATATACATATAAAAAGCTGAGGAAAAGAACTTTCTAAATAAATAAAACTTAAATACACTGTATTACTTACTAAAAACTACAAAGAGTTCAAAATTATTATTTTTTATTGGAAGAAAAAATGTTCCAATCAAAAACAAAATTCTTTTGTATAAATTAAGAATAAAATAGTTTAAAAAACATTTATAACAACTAAAATAGTCAATAAAGTCTATCATACGCAATACATAATAGTTTTACTTTTCTTTTGAGTACAGAAAAAAGTAAAAACCAGTTTTTTTAGAATTGTATTTTGAAAAATTAAAAAGAAAAAAATCAAATAGTTTGTAAAATGTGCCCTTAAGCAAAAAAAAAAAAAAATTCTGAACACTTCAAATGATAAAAAAAATTTATCTAAAATAGTAAATCAAAAAACAATCCTTGCAAATTTTGTATGTTCTGGGTGCAAATGAGTTCATTACTGCAGCCAGAACATACAAAATTTGTGCGCTTTCTGTTAAAAGGAGTACTACAGACTACACAATTTCTATCGCTTTTAACATATTTAATCAAATGTCTTCTATTTTTATATCTTTCTAGGACTAGATTTAAAACTTGTTGAACTCTGTTTAAAAGTGGTGAATTATCAGGCATCATTTTAACACATGAATTAACTAGTTCTTCAATAAGATACTCCTTAAATTTTTTTAGAATAAATCTTTGAACGAGCTAACAAATATAATATGTGAGGGTTAACTTAAGTTACTTACATCAGCCAATTAAAAATTCTTTTCCACCACTTAACTGTCTTTCTATCAAGATTACTGTAATATGACACAGATTGGTCTAAACGATCACAACCATTCATTGATTGATTGTATCGGTAAATAATTTCTGGTATTTCTCTGATTCCTCTGTGATGAGAAGATACTGCCACAACATTTTAAACTTAGTAGAAACAGCTACAACTGGTTTTTTAGCTTTTTTATCTTGCCACTGAGCAAGTAGAATTCCAGATTCACTGCGATAATAATTTGTTTGTAGATGTTTCATTCTACGACCTTTTTGGAACTTAATATTATCTCGAAAATTCTTGCGATTAGTTTGCAAGGTTCCAGTGTAGTAAAATGATTTAGATTTTAGATTATGAAAGAGTGTGTCGTGTAATATCGATCTGCAAAAATTTGGTTACTCTTTTCAAGAGGTTTAAGCAAATATTAAAATATTTTTTCTGATTGTCTCATTCCTTTTGTATTGGAGTTACAGGATGTATCGCTTCCAAAGTACGTAAGGATATTATAGGCATAACCAGTAGCACTGTCACACAAACCGAATGTTTTAATATGGGATTTGCTTGGTTTGCTGGGGTTATATTGTTTATTTTTCCATCTACCCTTAAATTTAATGACCATTTCATCAATAAAAACATTTGCGATGAGATTTTTCATAAATGGTTCAGTTTTTTCTTTTGCGTGGCTCTCTTGAGATGGAGCGACATGAAGCATTGTATGGTACATAGCCTCAAATCTATTTCTTGGAAACATAGAGTAACACCACGGAGTGCGATGAACTTAACTTAATTGAGGGACTTTTATCTAATCCCATAGCAATTATGACAGCGATGAACTTAACAATATCATATCTTTTAATTGGGGTCCAAGAAGAACATGTAGATGGAAAAACATGGACTATTTATTTTCATTTTGCAAAAAGGCAAAAAACTTAACAAACATAACAAATATGTTAAAACTTAACAAACATAACAAACTTAACAAATATGTTTTTCATACTTAATGTATGGAAAGAAACAAAAACGTCCTACAAGGTCGATATAGGTAAAACACAATATTTGTATTCTACATCCCATTTCCTTTTAGTAAATAAATATTTTAATAAAAATTAATTATTTACAATATGTAAACGTGAAAAATTTTATATTTCAAAATTACATTGTGATGATATTGAAAATTTTTTGTAGAATTGCGTTTAGCCATTTATCGTTGTATTCGTTCATTTCAAAATCGCTACTGACAAAAGTATTAAAGAAAAAATTGGCAGCTTTTTGGCGACGGCCAATAGTAGAGATAACGGAAGAAATATAGAACTCTAACTGAGCAACGCCTAAATTTTTGAGCAATGAAATAAGTGTCGCCAAAATAATAAAAGTCGATGCCCACTATCTGGTAGTGAGAGTTTAATACAGTAGTTTATAAATATATATACATATTTAATTGTACCTGTATTTAAATAGCATTGATTTTATTTTGTTATACTTTTGTTTTGGAAAACTCTATACCTCTTTTTTTTCATTTGTATCTGTTTCATATAACTTCATATAAATTTAATGATTTTTTTATTTTTTCAAAGCGCATTATATGATCATTTTCATCTCCAACATAATTACCTAAACCTTTAACCTCTAACTCAAAATAACAATGCAGCCTAGTACTATAGTATCATTTAAACAAAAATACTGTTATAAATTTTAATTATTAAAATTTTGTAGAATGCAATATATTTTTTTATTTTTTTTTAAAAAATTTAATCGAATATACTCAATATATTGAAACTAAACAAAGTTATATATATTATAAATATCAAGATAATATTGTAAACTATATTACGCCAATATTGGCCAGTATTATATCTACGGTCGTTTAGATATGAAAAGTTGTTATGCGTAAGAGAAGTGTCAAATTCAAATATTATAATTTTAAAGATGGTGACGGCCTTTAGATACCAAAATTTTTTCTGAGTAGTAACAACACTTTTAAAGTTTTACCTAGTAGTTATTATTTGCATATTTTTGATAGAATGAAATAATAATAAAAATAATTGATTTGTTGATTCAAAAATGATAAAAACAATATAAAGATGTTTTAGTGTTTTTCTCTGCTACATGTTTTTCTCTGCTACATTTATCCGACTGTTAAAAGCGTGATTTGTTTACATTTTTAAAACTGTTTTTCTAAAAATCTTAGCGATACAATTTAATAATTTTTACTTTTTTATTTCGAATAGTCTTATCTTGATTTGAAATTGGTTTCAGATCTGAGTATTCAATTTTTTTCTGAACAAAAATAGAATTCACCCACACTACTTTTGTAGATGTATGATACATTTATATTAAGGTATACAGCTAGTTTATATATATATATATATATATATATATATATATATATATATATATATATATATATATATATATAAACTAGCTGTATACCTTAATATAAATGTATCATACATCTACAAAAGTAGATATATATATATATATATATATATATATATATATATATATATATATATATATATATAAACTAGCTGTATACCTTAATATAAATGTATCATACATCTACAAAAGTAGTGTGGTTCACCCACACTAGTTTTGTAGATGTATGATACATTTATAATAAGGTATACAGCTAGTTTATATATATATATATATATATATATATATATATATATATATATATAGTATATATATTTATATATATATATATATATATATATATATATATATATATATATTATTTATGTATATATATATATTTATATATATATATATATATATATATATTATATATATATATATATATATGTATATATATATATATATATATATATATATATATATATATATATATATATATATATATATATATATATATATATATATATATATATATATAATTATATGTGAATGATTATAACATAAATGCAAAAAAACAAGGCTAAAAAATTCACAAGTTAATTATAAAGTAAGATAAAATATTTATATATAAGTTAAATATAAATTTATTATGTTACATAGTTTATATACTATGTGATTTGTTTGCATTTAATTTATATTCTTTTTTATTATATAGGTAATATAAACTATAAAATATAGTTTATATTATATAGGTAATATAAACTATAAAATATAGTTTTTATAATATATCATAATCATTTAACTATATATTATATACAATTTGTATCCAATAAAATTGTGTGCATATTATATTACAACACGATTACAACAATTGTATGCAAACACATTTAATGCATACAAATCAAACTCTGAAAAGTATTAAAAATAATAATATATGTTTAAGCATAGTATACTATGTAATACAATGCAATGTATATCCTGTTTGCTTAAAATTACTTTAAAAACTAGTTAGCTTTTTAAATATTTTATTATTTCTATTTAATAAGTATCGTGTTTTTTATTTAATGGACAAGTTGTCACCATAAAATTTCATTTGTATTCCTAGTTATATGTAACTTTATAACATCGGCTATATTTTTAAACATTTTTTTTGATTGTTAAAAATTAATGCTTACTGCTTTATTTTTAAAATTAATGTAATATATTAATGATTTTTTTTATAATTTAATTTGATTTTCATTAGCTTTTATTAACTCTAAATTTCTAATTTTGAAATAGTACTGATAAAAACACAAATAATTTAGATATTAAAAAAGTCTCATAACGAGTAAAGTAATACAGCATGAAACTCCAAAATCATGGTTGAGATTCTCTGAAAAAACATGTTACAAATATATTTTTATTTAAAACCAAGTACTATCTCCTCGTCAAATAGCCAATAAGTTTAATATTGAATATTCACATATTTGAAAATCTTATACTGAAACAGATGACATTATGGATCTGGATAATCTGGTGGGCAACACAATGAGGTAAACGTTTTTAATTAATAAAATTACTTTGCTTGATGAAACACGACAGCAAGTGGTGAAATGTTATATTCTCAGACAAAATGAATGTTGAGGTAGATATGTAAGAATATGTTATTGCTTAGTGTTCTGCTATGGCGATCACCTCAAGAGTAATTTGATTTGAATTGTAAATGAAAACCAACCAAGCAAGGTAATGACAGTGTAGACTTTTGGGCCTACATGAACTATGCAGGACTTGAATGCTATTATTTATTTGAAGGTTGACTTAATGTTGATAGAAACATTGAAATTTTAGATAATTGCCTTCTTCAATCTTTATTTAAGAAAGGTGGTTCTGCAAAATATTTATGGTTTAATGGTATATTTTATGGTTTTTCTTTTGTAAATTATTGTTTTAACATATTATTTGAAATATATACTTAACTTTATCCCGATAGTTTTTTTAAATATATACATATATATATATATATATATATATATATATATATATATATATATAATATATATATTAGGCCCCTTCTAAACCTAAATATTTTGAATCAAATCAAATAAGTGATTCAAGACTTGAATCAAAAAATCTCTATTTATTTGAATCAAATCAACCTGCTTTTATTAATAGTTCATAATGAAACTAGCTCAAGGTCATATCATTATAAATTTTCACCAACTTGAGTAATAACATTATCAGAATGTTATTACTCTAATAACATGAAGTCGTCTTAGAAATTTCAAAAAATAATTAAAAAATATTTTTTTTAATATTTTTTGAAATATTTTTCATAAAATATTTAAATTTAATTACGGTCATGCTTAGGTCAAATCTAAATGTTTTGCAAAAAATTTCATAAATTGTGAACAAAAATTCCCCTACAAGCTAACTACCTCTGCCGAAACATGATGACAATGACTTGATAAAATGCTTAGTTTCTCTATCTTATCCTAAATATACCTTTAGTTTTTCAATTTAATTTAATTGTATTATAGTCCCTAAAAGTTATGACCATATTAAATTAACAGCCCCCTCAATTTGATCAAACTTTGCTCATTAAAATACTAAAAAAATATTATAAGGTATTTTATTAATTATTATAGTTATAATAGTTAGAAAAGAAATAAACTTTTAAAATTCGAGACTCAGTTTACGAATCGAATGTATTAAAATATGAATTGAATTTAACAAAAACAAGAAGTAAATATATTAAAAATTGTATGATAGGCCAATTTCCATTATATGTATATATAAGAACAAAATAAATCAAAACATTATTCTCTAGTTATGATTAGGAGTGTTTAAACTATTTTTTTATAGAATATAAAAATTTGTTTTTTTATTTATTTATCTCTCCATTGACTTTTTAACTATAATAACTACAAATACCTATATTACATCTATACATATATTACATACAAACGTACATATATTAAGTATGTATGTATTAATAAAAACACTCCTGCCTGCCTGTCAAAGACAAAATTAGATGTGTTTTTGCTAATTTTAATAAATTAGCAAATATACATCTAATTTTGTCTCTGTTATAGCACTCTATTTTTGAAAAAAACTAACATATAATACATATATATATATATATATATATATATATATATATATATATATATATATATATATTTATATATATATATGTATATATCTATATATATGTATATATACATAAATACAATTTTATTTTGGCCCATGCCTGAGCATTTGGTTGTAAGAGATAAATTAGCTGTATATAGTATTACATGATAAAAATTAATTTAAAATTTTTATTTTCGAGGAAATTGAAATTTTTGTAAAATTGAAATTTTTGAGAAATCTGAAAGCTTTACTTTTCGAATAAAATCTCCTTTATAGCTAAATTGTTTTCGTTGACATCGGCGTCGTACACTAATTTTAGCAGGGAAATCCGGTTCTGTTTTAACTGGTTTACAATTTTCATTAGAAATATTCAAATGATTTTTGAAAAATTTATTATTTCTAATGCTTTTAAAAAATTTCAAAACGATTATAACTATTTCAGCTTATGAACTGATTTTCCAAGAAACTTTTTGCATCATTTTACTAATGACATCTACCTTTTCCAAGATTTCGTACCATATTATTATTGAACAAATAAATTTATAAAATTTAGTTTTAATTGCCGAACATCCAGCCTTATACCGAAATGTTGGAGTTGAACATTTTTCAGCTATTTCTATAAGGCTCTCTTAAATTTTACCTAATTCATTTCGCAGTGGCTTTATCGCTTTAGTTCTTGTTTCCCACCGTGTTTCACTAAACTGTTTCAATGTTAAAGATTTGACATTTTTTTTTAAACTTGCCATCTTAATGACGAACCACTGAAGAAATTATATATTACTGATACAGTACTAAATAAATCCACCGTTGGAAACGAAACTTTAGCTGCATCATTAATTGCCAATATTAATGTATGCGTGTTGTATGGCATAAACAAAGCTTGTGGATAGTTGTTCAAAACTCGTTTTTTTAATCTAACATGTTTTCCGGACATTTTAGAGCCATTGTCGTATCCCTGGCCCCTCATGTAGTTAATATTTAGTTCAAATTAGTTTAATTTCTTAATTA